GTGCAGTCTCCCCCATTTAACGACCTGTCGCAAACAGTCGCACGAAGCAGAGGTCCGGAGCCAGAACCCCCCCCCCCGCCCTCCCCCCCCCTTCCGCCCAATGTCGAAACGCCGAATAAGAAAACGCCCACCAGTGTGCCCCCCTACGCCCCGCAGGTCCCCGAGGGCTCGCTGCGGGCCCTCTACGCGCGCGAGGCGCTGCCGAGCACGCCGTCCCTGTGGGCGCTGGTGGCGGAGCAGCAGGCGCGGAGGGCCGCGGCTGCACCGCGGCGGGAGCGCCGCGGCATGAGCATCGCGGCAAAGGGGGCGCCGCTCCTCAGACGACGACGACGTCGACGACGACGACGACGATGACGGCCGTACATGCGAACAAGGGGGGTTGCAATCAGCCAGGGTCATTCTGAGCATGCCTGGAGCCCCCCTGTGCTACCTCGCACCCTGATCTTGCCAACTCTCTCGGCGGAGTGCGTCACCACCTGGACCATGTCGTGCCACACACGCATGCATAACCTGCTGCTGCTCCTCCTCCTCCTCCTCATTCCCGCTTCCCCTCCTGGTCCCTCCCCCTCCTGCTTCTGCTCCCCTTCCTTGTCTCTCTCGTCGTCGCATGCGTCGCACGTTGCATCGCACAGGGAAGTCGCCCACCAACCAACAGCATAGCAAAACCAAATCGCCTCCCCATTACCCCACGAGCATCCGATCCTGTATCCCTTCATGGGTAGCCCCCCGATCCCTCTCCCCCATCCACCTCTTACCCCAGGCCCTTCCCCCCCCCGTGCTCCTCCTCCTTCCTTCTCTGGCGACGACGATGACACTGACGACGGTGACCACGACAACCCTGACGATGGTGACCACCGTCGCCCGACGACGACGACGATATCAACGACGACCACGACGACAATGACCACGACAACGTCGATGACGACGATGAGGGCGATGACGGCCGCGGCGGCTGCGGCGGCGGCGGACGACGGACGACGGACGACGAACGACGGACGCCAGACGGGCGACGGACGACGGACGACGGACGGCGCGCGACGATGTCGACGGCAACGGTGGACGACGGACAACGACGGCGACCACCGCCATCGCTCTCCGCGCCTTCCGCGCGTCTCGGCTCGTGGGCCTGCCAGGGCCGTCCGGGCGCCCGGTGGGGTGTCCCCCTGCGCTGGCGCCGCGCGGCCGCGAGGGGGTCCGGCAGGATCCCGGAGGGGGGCGGGGCACCCGCGCAGGGCGTTTGGGGCCCACCTTGGGGCAGGAGGAGGAGGAGGCTGAGGAGGCTGAGGAGGCTGAGGAGGCTGAGGAGGCTGAGGAGGAGGAGGAGGAGAAGGAGGAGGCGGCATGGCATGGCAGAGGGAGAGGAGATGATGGAGAGGATGGGAGGGGGAGGGGGGCGAGGGGGAGCAGGGACAGGGGCAGGATTAGAACGGGGGGAGGGGAGGGAGGGAGGGAGGGAGGGAGGGAGGGAGGGAGGGAGGTAGAGAGGCACGGGGCAGGGAGGTAGGGAGGAGTGAGGTTGGTCGGGAGGAGGGAGGTAGTGAGGAAGCACACGTAGGGGAAGGGCGAGGAAGAGGGTGCCAGGCTACCCGTCGCTCATGGCGGCCGCGGGCAGCGTTCCGCAGTCCCTGAAAGAGACCATCAAGGAGAAGATAGCGACCGCGCTGAAGGACAACCTTAAGCTCGAGGACCGGCGAGGGAGAGAGGGAGAGGTAGGATGGGGATGAGAGCAAGACATCTTCATGTAGCACGTCAGTCCACCACCAGTATCCCGCTTCGGCTCGGCGTGCGACGGCACGATCCCTCGGGGCATGTGCGTGCTGGGTGCCCGTTCGGACCTCTGCGCCAGCATCCTGCCGTGGCAGCCCGCTCGGTGGCACGTCGGAGGCGCAGCAGCGGGCCAGGACGTGTCTGGCCCGGAGGCGCAGGAGCGGGCCAGGACGTGCTCCACGTCCTCGCCAAACGTCGGAGGCGCAGCAGCGGGCCAGGCATCAAGATCAGCCCAGAACGTCTCAAATGAGTCCCAGGGTGGGGGGGTGGGGGGGTGGGGGGGTGGGGGTTGGAGGGGGTGGGGGGGTGGGGGGGTTGGGGAAGGGTGGGGGGGGGGGGGGGGGGGTGTGGGGGTGGTGGGGGGAGTGGGTGGCGGGGGGTTGGGGCGTGGGGGGGTGGAGGGGTGGGGGATGGGGGGGGGGGGGGGAGGTGGAGGGGTGGGGGGGTGGGGGGGGGGGGGGTGGGGGGGTGGGGGGGGTGGGGTGGAAGGGGGGGGGGGGGGGGGGGTGGGGGTGGGGGGATGGGGGGTGGGGGGTGTGAGCGGGGTGATGGGTGGTGGGGGGGGTGGGGGGATGGGGGAGTGGGGGGGGAAGGGGGGGGGAGAGGGGGGGGAGGGGGGGGGAGGGGGAGAAGAGGTGTAGGGGGTGAGGGGGTGGGGGGGTGGGGGGGTGGGGGGGTGGGGGGGGTTGGGGGGGTGAGGGGGTCGAGGGTGGGGGGGTGTGGGGGGTGGGGGGGTGGACGGGTGGCGGGGGGGGGGGTGGAGCGGGGGGGGCGGGGGGTGGAGGGGGCGGGCGGGCGGGCGGGCGGCGGGGTCGCTGTGCTGGGGGGCGGGAGGCGCAGCAGCGGTGCATGTTGTAGGAGGAGGAGGAGGAGGAGGAGGAGGAGGAGGAGGGAGCGAGGCGGAGGAGGAGGAGGAGGAGGAGGAGGAGGAGGAGGAGGATGGCGGAGGAGGAGGAGGAGGAGGAGGAGGAGGAGTAGGAGGAGGAGGAGGAGGAGGAGGAGGGAGGAAGAGGAGAAGAGGAAGGGAGGGAAGGAGAGGGAGGGATGGAGGGAGGGGAGGGAGGCAGGGAGGCAGGCAGGGAGGCAGGGAGGGAGGGGGAGGGAGGGAGGGAGGGAGGGCAGCGCGCGGAGGCGGGGAAGAGCACAGGGAGGTGCGCGGAGGCCACGAAGGGGGAGGGGGCGCGAAACCGTCGCAGCCTTCTCTTGGCCGGTGGCCGCGAGAGGTCGGAGCGGCGGCAGAGCGGCGGCGGGACGCGCCAGAGCCCAACTTTTAAGTTGTGCATGTCCCTCTACAGGGGGTTTTGTTTGAGCACTTTGTGGGTATTTTTCCTGACTGTCCTGTGGTCTGAGGTCCTCGTTTTGAAGAGACAGCGCCCCGCGTTCTCCTCCTCCCGCTCCTCCTCCCCCTCCTCCCTCCTCCCGTCATCATCGCCCATTTCGGTTCACCCCTCACACGTTTCGTGGCCCAAGGGGAGCTCCACTGAAGGTCCCAGTGGCTGCGTTCGCGTTTTGGCCGCGTGCGGTTCCACCCCCCATTTTGGCATATCCAATTTGGCATTTTCAGCCACCCAGTACAGCGTTTCGTGTCCCACACACCCGAATTGGCATTTACACCCACCCAGGACAGCGTTTCGTGGCCGCATAGTGAGCTCCACCGAAGATCCCAGTGGCTGCGTTCGCGTTTTGGCCGCATGCGGTTCCACCCCCCCTTTCGGCACATCCAATTTGGCATTTTCACCCACCCAGTACAGCGTTTCGTGGCCCCATAGGGAGCTCCACCGACGGCCCCCGTGGGACCGCCCGCACGCGTCCCACACACCCAAGTTGGCATTTTCACACACCCAGGACAGCGTTTCGTGGCCGCATAGGGAGCCCCACCGAAGCCCCCAGTGGGACCGCCCGCATGCGTCCCACACACCCAATTTGGCATTTTCACCCACCCAGTACGGCGTTTCGTGGCCCCATAGGGAGCTCCACCGACGGCCTCCGTGGGACCGCCCGCACGCGTCCCACACGCCCAATTTGGCATTTTCACCCACCCAGGACAGCGTTTCGTGGCCGCATAGGGAGCCCCACCGAAGGTCTCAGTGGGACCGCCCGCATGCGTTCCCCCGCACCCAGTGCAGCGCTTCGTGGCCCCAGTGGGAGCTTCACCGAAGCAGATATTCACAACTGCGGTGCCCACAACTGCATATGGTTGGGTCCTTCGCCAGGACGATTCATTTTTCGTCCCAGATCCGCCCGCAGGAGGACCCGCCCGACCCGAGACAACTGGGCAGCGAGGGAGGGCGGGGGAGGGAGGGCCACGGGGGACGCGGGAGGGAGGCGCGCTCGGACCGTGAAGGCCGCCGCGCGAGTGCCGGGGAGCAAGGCCGAGCAGTGCTCTTTCGCCGGCTCGCGGGCAGCATTCTCCGGGTTCACCACCCACCAAACCACCCCCTACCCAATCCGAAGGCTCAGATTTACCCTCGATTTCCAGTGGGGGGGGTCGGGAAACATCGAACAACACATGTGGAAACCTTGCCCCCCCAACCCGAGATTCGGGTCTTCGGGTTGGGTTGGGGATGGTCTGGTAGGCAGTCATGGGTCACGCTGCTCCGTGCTTGGTCTCCCTGTGTGGCGGGTTCGAGCGCAGGTCGCGCGGGGGATGGAGGGATTGGCCCTGCCGTCGGGATCGCCGTGCGACGTTCGAGGAGCCAAAGACGGCACGAGCATGAGCTTGCGGAGCTCCGCGCGGACCGCGTGAATCTGAGCTGGACCCCCTGGCGGCGCCTGCAGCGGACCTTCAAGAGTTTACGTATGTTCAGTTGTTCCCAACCAGCCTGTGGTGTTGGGCCTTCGTATCGAAATAGCGGTCTCCTCCTCCCCCTCCTCCCTCTTCCCCTTCCTCCCTGCGCTTCGCCCACCCAGCACAGCGTTTCGTGGCCTCATAGGGAGCTCCACCGAAGGCCCCAGTGGCAGGGTTCGCATGGCGGCCCCGCCCCATTTTGGCGCACACGGTTCGTGGCCCCACAGGGGGCTCCACCGAAGGCCCAGGCGGCAGGGTTCGCATGGCGGCCCCGCCCCATTTTGGCGCACCCTCACACGGTTCGTGGCCCCATAGGGAGTTCCACCGACGGCCCCAGTGGCAGGGTTCGCATGGCGGCCCCGCCCCATTTTGGCGCACCCCTCACACGGTTCGTGGCCCCATAAGGGGCTCTACCGAAGGCCCCAGTGGAAGGGTTCGCATGGCGGCCCCGCTCCATTTTGGTGCACCCCTTACACGGTTTGTGGCCCCATGAGGGGCTTCACCGAAGGCCCCAGTGGAAGGGTTCGCGTGGCGGCCCCGCCCCATTTTTGGTGCACCCCTTACACGGTTCGTGGCCCCATTGGGAATTCCCCTGCGTCGTCCCACCTGCCCGTGGCTCTCACACTTGCGTATGGTCGGGTCCTTCGCTGGGATGATTTGTTCCTCTACCGCCGTCGGGATCGTCTTGCGCCGTGAGCCCCCAGAGCTCTCGACCCAGCAGGGAGCCGTCCTTTGCTGCCTCGTCGCGGGAGCGGGCCGGGAGACCGAAAGCGCCGAGAGACGCCCGCTGTGATCGATCTCTCCGCGCCGAGGGATGGCTGGGAGTCAAGGGCAGCGTTTGGGCGGGAGATCGGCTCAGGGCGGCATGCGTCGACCCCTCGTCGCCCACACTCATCGCCGAGGGTGTGCCCGGCAGCCCACCCCGCCCAGGAAGGGGCCGTTTCCCTATCGGGGGCCTGGCGCCGAGCTGTCGGCGGCGTCTCGTTGACTCCGGGTCGACCCCACCTCCCCTGAGCTGGTCCCCAGGCATCCGACGATCTGTTTTTCCCAACCATCCTGTGGCGTTGGGTCTTCGTTTTGAAGAGACAGCGCCCCACGTTCTCCTTCCTTCCTTCCTCCTACCCTCCTCCTTCCTCCTACCCTCCTCCCTCCTCCTCCTCCTCCTCCTCCTCCTCCTCCTCCTCCTCCTCTTCATCCTCCTCCTCCCCCTCCTCACACGTGTCGTGGCCACATAGGGAGCTCCACCGAAGGCCCCAGTGGCTGCATTCGCATGAGGTTCCACCCCGATTTTGGCACACCGCTCACCCGTTTCGTGGCCCCAAAGGGAGCTCCATCAAAGACCCCAGTGGCTGCATTCGCATGCGGTTCCACCGCCATTTCGGCACACCGCTTACACGTTTCGTGGCCCCATAGGGAGCTCCACCGAAGGCCCCAGTGGCTGCATTCGCATGCGGTTCCACCCCGATTTTGGCGCACCCCTCACACGTTTCGTGGCCCCATAGGGAGCTCCACAGAAGGCTCCGGTTGCTGCGTTCGCATGCAGTTCCACCACCAATTCGGCACACCGCTCACACGTTTCGTGGCCCCATAGGGAGCTCCACCGATGGCCCTAGTGGCTGCGTTCGCATGCGGTTTCATTGCCCGATTTCGGCACACCCCTCGCACGTTTCGTGGCCCCAGAGGGAGCTGCACCGAAGGCCCCAGTGGCTACATTCGCATGCGGCTCCACCGCCATTTCGGCACACCCCTCGCACGTTTCGTGGCCCCATGTGGAGCTCCACCGAAAGCCCCAGTGGATGCGTTCGCATTCGGTTCCACCGCCATTTCGGCACCCCTCGCACGTTTCGTGGCCCCATAGAGAGCTCCACCGAAGGCCCCAGCGGCTGCGTTCGCATGCGGTTCCATCCCCAGGTTCCACCGCCATTTCGGCACACCCTCGCACGTTTCGTGGCCCCACAAGGAGCTCCACCGAAAGCCCCAGTGGCTGCGTTCGCATGCGGTTCCACCGCCATTTCGGCACACCCCTCGCACGTTTCGTGCCCCCATAGGGAGCTCCACCGAAGGCCACAGCGGCTGCGTTCGCATGTGGCTAGGGAGCTCCACCGAAGGAACTAATCACAACTACCGTGTTCACAACTGCATGTGTTTGGGTCCTTCGCCAGGATAATTTTCCAACGCGCAGGCCCAGAGGTCCAGGCCCGCTCCCCAGGAGAAGTTCTTTTCGTTGCGGAGCCATCCTTGCTGGCCCCGGTGCCCGAGAACGGGCGCCAGAGGCCGAAGCCGAGAACAAGCGCCCAGATCGAAAAAGTCAGATCGTCCCAGCTTTGTGTGCTTCTCTGAGCCAGCGCCCCTGCCTGACGTTGCTCCTCGAAGAGAGCCCTCGGCAGGAGGACGGGGGAGGAGGAGGAGGAGGAGGAGGAGGAGGAGGAGGAGGAGGAGGAGGAGGAGGAGGAGGAGGAGGAGGAGGAGGAGGAGGGGGAGGAGGGGGAGGAGGGGGAGGAGGGGGAGGAGGGGGAGGAGGAGGAGGAGGAGGAGGGGGAGGAGGGGAGGAGTGGGAGGAGGAGGAGGAGGAGGAGGAGGGGGAGGAGGAGGAGGAGGAGGGGAGGAGGGGGAGGAGGAGGGAGGAGGAGGAGGAGGAGGGAGGAGGAGCGAGGAGGAGGAGGAGGAGGAGGGGAGGAGGAGGAGGAGGAGGAGGAGGAGGAGGAGGAGGAGGAGGAGGAGGAGGAGGAGGAGGAGGAGGTCGTCAACCCCTGGTCGCAAGGGCGGGCCCTGGAGACCGAACGGGCCGAAAGACGTCCGTTGTGATCTTTCCGCGTCTGGGCACGGCTCGGAGTGAACGAATGAACTCCTTCGCGATGCGTTCTTCTTTTTTTGTGCCCATGTTTATTAATTCTTAGCAGCGGCGGCTGACGCCAAAGCGTTCGGATAGCCAGCGGGCCGCGCCGGAACTTGGGTACACAGCGCAATTAGGTTTGAGTCGGGCGTGTCTCTCTACAGGAGGAATATTCAAACATAGCCAAAAAATAGTATGGGGACTATTTTCTATGGTTTCTTAACTATTTTGGATTGTTTTTTTGACTATTATGTTTTTTGTCCAGAATCCGCCTTCAGCAGGACATGCTCGACCTAACACTAGGTGAAGAGGAGGGCGGTCTCGGAGGAGGAACGCGTGAGGAGGCCTCAGGCGTGGAGCATCTTCGCCACGAGGAGTGCGCGGGCGGCTTTCAGTCGCTGCGAGTCCGAAACGACAGAGAGCTTCGACCGAGAACCAATCGACACCACCCCACCTGCGACCCGCGCGGTCGCATGTGGGTCGCAGGTGGAGTAATGTCGTGGGTGGGGTCGTGGGCGATCGTGGTTGGGCAAGTGGCCAAGCTTTCGACATCGCTGGGTCGTAGGTGGGGTGGTGTCGTTTGGTGCCTGGTCCAAGGAGAAGGAGTTCGTCAACCCGTGGTCGAACCAGGACAAGGCCTCGGTGCTGCAGCAGACGCGGTGCTTCAGGACGCGGGTGGTGTCGCGGCGCCCGTCTCTCTCGCGGAGAAAACGGGGGGCGAGGGCGTGCAGAGGGGCGGGGCGAGGCGGAGCAAAACGAGGACGAGCATGAGGAGGAGGAGGAGGAGGAGGAGGAGGAGGAGGAGGAGGAGGAGGAGGAGGAGGAGGAGGAGTGGATTGACGCAGTTGGCCAGCTTCGCGGCCACGTCAATGGGCAGCGGGGGCGAGGAGGAGTCGTCCGCCTGGACGACGTAGAACGCCCGCCCAAGAGACGTGGCGCCCCTCGTCGCCCACAGATGTCATCCACCGAGCCACGGTGTCCCAGTGCCGGTCGATCATGCGTCCCGTCTGGAAGCGCTGTTCGCCCAGCTAGTCTGAGTCTGGGCCTGCCACCCACTGTGATGGCCCCTTGGGCAGCCTTCGACATTGGCGGCGGTTTGGCAGTGCGTAGCCCCTGTGGGGCTGGAGGGGTCTGCTCTGAATCTGCGCCTGGTACCCGCTTTGCTGGCCCCCCCAGCAGCCTTCGAGCGTGGCGACATTTTCGCAGTTCGCACCCCCCCCAAGGGCTGTGAGGTCTAGATTGCATCTGCGCCTGGTACCCGCCATGATTGCCCCTCCAGCATCCCTCCCAAGTGGCGACAGTTTGGCAGTTCGCAGCCCCCAGGGACGGAGAGTTTTAATTTGGATCTGCGCCTGGTATCATTATGCAGGCCCCCCCCAACAGCCCTCGAACGTGGCGTCTGTTTCACAGTTCGCAGTCCCCCAGGGCTGGCGAGTTCTGGTCAGAATCTGCGCTTGGTGCCCACCATGCTGCCCTTACCAGCAGCATCTGAACGTGGCTACAGTTTCGCAGTTCGCGCCCCCCAGGGCTGGCGAGGTCTAGTCTGAAGCTGCGCCTGGTGCCCACTATGCTACCCCGCTGGTGAATTGTGAGCGTGGCAACCCTTCCGCGGTTCTCAGCCCCTCAGGGGTGACGAAGTCTCATTTGCATCTGCGCCTGGTCCCCAATCTGGTGGCCCCTCCAGCATCCCTCCCGCGTGGCGACAGTTTGGCAGTTCGCAGCCCCCCAGGGAGGAAGAGTTTTAACCTGGATGTGCGCCTGGTACCACTATGCTGGCTACCAGCAGCCCTCGAACGTGGCGACTGTTTCGCAGTTCGCACCCCCCCCCGCGGCTTGCGAGGTCTAGTCTGTATCTGCGCTCGGTGCCCATGATGCTGCCCCCGCCAGCGGCCCTCGAACGTGGGGGCATTTTCGCGGTTCGCACCCCCCCCAGAGATGGCGAGGTCAGACGTGTTGGGCCCGCCAGCAGCCCTCGAAAGTGGCGACGGTTTCTCAGCTCGCGCACCCCGCAGGTTCGCGAGGTCTAGTCTGAGTCTGCCCGCGGTACTCACCATGCTGCCTACGTCCAAGCAGCCTTCGACATTGGGGACCGTTTCGCAGTTCGTAGTCCCTCAACACTAGCGAGGCTTAATTTGAATCTACGCTTGGCACCCACCATGCCGCCCCCCCGCTCCCCCCAGGAGCTTTCGACCGTTTGTACATGTTCGCGGTTCGCAGTTCGCCACTGGCGTGGCGAGGTGTATGGCGAATCTGCGCCTGGTACCCACTATGCTGCCTGTCGGTAGCTTTCGAGTGTGGCATACGTTTCGCCGTTCGCAACCCCGTAGGGATGGTGAAGTCTATTTTCGATATGCGCCTGGTACTCATTATGCTGGCCCCCCAACGGCCGTTGAACGTCGCGACCGTTTCGCAGTTCGCTGCCCCCGAGGGCTGGCGAAGTCTAGTTCGAACTTGGGCCTGATATCCACTACGATGTCCCCCCTTTAGCAGCCTTCGAGAAAGTGGCGACAGTTTGGCCGTTCGCAGCCCCTTAGGGATGGCGAGGTCGAATCTGAATCTGTGTCTGGTACTCATTATGCTGCCCCTCCAAACAGCCCCAGAAATTGCCGGCCGTTTCGCAGTTCGCAAAGTCCCCCAGGTCTGTCGAGGTGTTATCTAAATCTGCGCCTCATACCCAATATGCTGCCCACCCGCAGCAACCCTCGAGCGTAGCGGCGGTTTCGCAGATTGCCGCCCCCCAAGGAGTGGTGGGGTCACGCAGGACGGCAAGGTAGGAGCCAGGCTGGCAGGCAGGGCAGGAGAGGCAGACTGGTAGCCAGAACGGGAGAGGAGAAGGTGGGAGGCAGGATGGGAGAGAGGAGGAACAGGAAACATTTGCGACCGCAGTGCCGTATTCAAAACGAGACCCCAACGCAGTACAGTGGAGGCCGATGCCAAGAAACACCCTGCTCGCCTCCAGGGTACCCTGGATTTCTTGGGTTTCGATGGATTTGCTATGGAGAGCTGGACGTTCCCACACCAAATATCCATGGACGCCATGAGGTTTCAGGGTTGGGTTTCTTGTTAAAGGTTTCTTGTGGTCGGACTCCTGCTGTCCTACTGTAGGGTTGGGAACAGATGTCGTTAGGTAACCTTGGACCAACGGGCCGATGGGATTTGTTGTAGGTGCCTATTGCCCACGGAGTGACACGGGGCCCTTTCGGTCTGCGCGGTCTGCGAGGTATGGGCTGATGGGGGTGGAGGGCGCGAAGGGAGACACGAGGACCGCGATGATGAAAAGGATGATGAAGATGATGATGATGATGATGATGATGATGATGATGATGATGATGATGATGATGATGATGATGATGATGATGATGATGATGATGACGATGCTGATGATGCTGATGGTGATGATGGTGATGAGGAGGAGGAGGAGGATGAGGAGGATGATGGTGATGCTGATGATGATGAAGACGACGATGACGATGACGATGATGATGATGCTGATGGTGATGATGATGAGGAGGATGATAATGATGGAGATGATGTTGATGACGATGATGTCGATGATGGTGATGCTGATTATGCTGATGCTGATGCTGATGATTATGATGATGCAGTTGATGATGAGGATGATGGCGATGCTGTTGTTTAAGGTGATGGTTATGATGCTAGTGAATATGATGATGATGACGACGACGATGATATTGAGTATGATGATGAGGATGATGATGATGATGATGATGAGGATGATGATGGTGATGCTGATGACGATCATGATGGTGCAGCTCATGCTGCTGATGCTGATGAGGATGATAACGATGATGCTTATGCTGATGATGATGGTGCTGATGATGCTGATGATGATGCCGATGCCAATGACGATGACGACGATGATGATGATGATGCTGACGGTGATGATGATGAGGAGGAGGATACTGATGGTGATGATGTTGATGACGATGATGTCGATGATGGTGATGCTGATTATGCTGATGCTGATGATGATTATGATGATGCTGATGCTGCTGATTATGATGCTGATGCTGATGATGATGATGATGATGATGATGATGATGATGATGATGATGATGATGATGCAGTTGATGATGCTGATGATGGCGATGCTGTTGTTTAAGATGATGGTTATGATGCTTGTGATGCTGATGATTATGATGATGATGCTGACGACGATGATGATCATGCGTATGAGGATCAGGATGATGCTGAGGATGATGATGGTGATGCTGATGATGATCATGATGGTGCAGCTGATGCTGCTGCTGATGATGATGATGATGATGATGATGATGATGATGATGATGCTGCTGATGATGATGATGATGCTGATGCTGATGCTGACGATGATGATGATGATGACGATGATGATGATGATGATGATCATGATTATGATGATGATGATGAGGATGATGAGGATGATGATGGTGATGCTGCTGCTGCTGCTGATGATGATGATGATGATGATGATGGTGGTGGTGGTGGTGGTGGTGGTAGCCTCCGCGCGCTCGAGCCCTTTCAGGAATGGAGCGGGAGCGAGGGCTCTTGCAGTTGAGAGCCATGTGCGTCGAGAGCGATCGCTGAAGGCGGACGCCGACGGGCGTGGCGAGGGTCCATGGCGCCGTCTCATCTGCTGTGGCTGATCGGTTTCAACCCGCTCTACGCGTCCACGACGGTGCGGTTGGCGGAGCTGGCCCTTGCAGCTCCATCTGCCTATGCACTGATGCTGGTGGGTAGGAAGGGGGCATACAGAGGAGGGAATGACATCTTGCGACAGGGGGTGGAAGGGAGACTCACGGTGGCAGCGGGGGCTCGACCTGGGCAGTACACGAGTCGGCACGCTGCCTGCACGATCGTGTTTGGGAAGCGAATGCAGGACAGACGCATTCGACGCACGTGGGGGCCGCCTCCTGGAGCAGAATGTCGTGCGTTGGCACTACGTGTGAAGAGAGGACAGATGGACGTGGTGTATGGGGCGATGTACTTTTGAGTGCAGCCTAGGAACAAGGCCAATACGGGTACCTATAAACAGAGTGTCAAGTTGATCGTTGGTTGGAGGGAGCAGATATTGCAGGAGTTGCCGCAGCGCGCGCTTCCGTGATTCTTCGCGGTCGCCAGCGACGGCAGCGGCATCTCGAAGCCGGACGGGGCATGCCAATATTTGCAATCGGATGGGTCAGGGTGTGCAGTTGTACGAGGGAGACGCAGACGAGGGGCAGGATAGTCAAGTCGACAGGTGTTAGACGAGCAGTGCACGGGGGGCCACACCGTTCAGCGACCACCTGGAGCCGACCTTTTACGCGAATGTCCGGATGGCAGGCCGGGTGGAAACAGTGCGATCGCTTCTGCGTGCCGTAGGGCTGCTTGGAGAGGATGGGGCAAGAGCACGTGCAGACGGAAATGGGAGCATTGGCGGTACAGGGCACGGCGCTGAGAGATGACCTGCCGATGCTGCTGAACATCAAGCGCATGCCAAGCGCGACCCAGCAGCGATGATGAATGCGGTCACGCACGGAATGAGGAAAGCGGAGTTTCCGGAGAACCTGGCAGCGGCGCTGGCGGCGCATGAGGTACGACTGCATCGACGCGCCGATTCAGGATCGCCACACAAATACATTGAGCTGTTGGAGACACTCATGCTGAATATAGGCAACAGGCACTTCGC